TCTTTGTCAAGGCCAAGATGGATGGCCTGTGTTTGACGCAGAGATCTCTTACTGCGTTTTTCTTGTGGGGCAATCCGAGACCTCAGATGCTCCATGAGATGATCAGCATGGATGGGTAATGAATAGGGGAGTGTTCCTAAGGGAACGTCTCACCAAAATTCACTAGGGGCCGACTGTTGAGGATTGGGAGAGATAGAGAGGTTTGACAAAGAAGGGCGATCATAATTGATTGTGGAAACCAAGTTAGAGATTTCACATGGTCCTTCTGACTTACCCTTATTCTGGATTGAGCTTCCACTTTGAAGAACTCTTGGAATGGACAATCCGGTGGGTTTGGAAAGCCGATGACTCCCATAACTTCATGAATTTCCCCTTTGCCGGTGTCAACTCCACTGACGAAGTCTGAGTCCACAAAGGGGGGAGAAAGAGGGTCGCCCATAGTGTCCACTGATTGGGAGGAATCAACTGAATCCATCCCTTGGATAGCAGAGGGGGAAGGTACAGCCGGAAGAACCGGGAATGGTAGACCATAAGTAGGAGTAGGTCGAAATATGCCTAACGAGATGCCAAAAGGGTCGGTCACAGAGGTATGGGTGGGGGTAGCCAGAGAGAGAAGAGCTTCAGAGGAAGGGATCTCCAAGTTAAGGGGTGTAGACATCGGAATGGTGGAGTTCAAAGCTACAACAGAGGCACAGGGGGATGAAGAAGCAAGTTCCTTGGGGAAGGTAGTATTGCTACCTCCAGAGGTAGAAGAGAGAAGAGGGGTAAAGGGGAGAGGCATAGGTAAAAGAGGGTAAGAGACAAGGGGGGTGGAGAGAATGGGAGAGAGATAGTGATAGCCAGAGTTAGCGGCTGAACCCAAGTGAGTAACAAAAGAAGAAAAAGGACTAGGGTGATTTGGAGAGGCGTAGAGTCAAGAGGGAAAGAGAAGAGGAATCAGGCCGAAAAAGGGGTCAACGGTAAGGTTGATTGCTTCCCGAAAAGGCTGAGGAATAAGAATGGGAATGGGCGAAGGGACCGAGATGATGATGGAGACCCCACTTGAGGGGTCAGCCGGGAAGCCCAATAACTCGAGGGGAGTAGCTAAAGGGAAAAGGTAGGGGTCCATGGTGCTTGTTTGGAGAGCAGTCTTGACCAAAGCAGAGTTTTCGGTGGCTAAATAGTGGCCGTCTCTTGTAGGTGAAATGAGTGCAGGAGAGCCATCGGGCCCAACCTGGGGCACTGTCAAGTGGGTGTACATAGTAAGATACAAAGCAAATGGCATTATAGAAAGATACAAGAAGAGAGGTTGCAAAAGGTTTTAGGCAAACTATGGTATAGATTACAAAGAAACTGTTTCCCCTGTAGTGAAGTTAAACACAGTTAGAATCATTCTAACTTTGGCCCTGTACTGAAATTAAACACAGTTAGAATCATACTCTCCTTATCTATACAATTAAATCTCGATCGCTACAGGAAGTCTATATGGCCATGCCTCCAGGTTTTCAGCTTCAATGGAGACTGGAAAGCTATACAGATTAAAAAAGGAAATATATGGAATTAAACAGTCAAAGAGCATAGCTTGAAAATTTCAGTAATGGTTCAGAAGAAATCAAGCTTATCAAACATGTTTTATGAGGAAGAAGTGTGTCCGTATTACAGCATTCATTCTGTATGTTGATGGTATTGCAGTGACTCGAGACAGCTTAGCAGATATTGACCATCTCAAATGCTAAAATGCACGAAGACTAAGGTGTTTGACATAAAAGTTGTAGGTTCACTCAAATGTTTTATGGGTATTGAAGTGACAAAGTCAAAGGGAATAGCTATTTCTCAGAGGAAGTATGTGTCGGACCTATTACAACAAACTAGAATGTTAGAAGCCAGACCGATGGATATGTTGTAGAGTCCAACCATAGACTCCATGCACAGATGGGAGAGTGACTAAAGTCAATATCAGAGGTTCATGAGCAAGCTTGTGTACCTGACAAATACATGACCCAATATATTTTAAACGGTTAGCATAGTTAGTCAATTCATGCATCCCAGCTAAAACTTCACTTAGATATTGTCTATCATATCCTAAAGTATCCCAAGGCATTTCTAAGGAGTGTAGATAACCTCTTACAAATACATGACCCAATATATTTTAAACGGTTAGTATATTAAACGGTTAGTATAGTTAGACAATTCATGCATCCCAGCTAAAGACTTCACTTAGATATTTTCTATCATATCCTAAAGTATCCCAAGTCATTTCTAAGGAGTATTATAATCTACAATAATGCAGATTGGGCTGGTTCAGAGACTGATAGTAAAAAAACAGAATGTAGTGGCAAGATCAACTGCTAAAGTGGAATACAGGACTCTGGCACATGGAGCATGAGAAATTATGTAGGTTAAACCATTGTGGCTGATCTGGAAGTCAAAGTTCAGTTAGAAATGACCATTCATTGTGATAACGAAGCAGCCATCCACATAGCTGAGAACTTTGTATTTCATGAGAGAACAAGGCACACCGCTGTCGAGTGTCACTTCATAAGGGAAAAGTTGCAGTAGAAATATTTTCATTCCTTATGTGAAATTGAGAGATCTACTAGTAGATATCTTCACAAAAGCAGTTGCACCTGATCGACTACAAGATATAGTTGTCAAACAGGCTCCAGCTTGAGGGGAAACATTGAAAGTGCAATGGCAAGTTACAGGCGTAAATGGAATATACGTGAGTTATTTATTTAATATAGATATGTATCAGTTATTTATCTAAATAATTGTAGCCCTGTAATTTTTGCTTATCAATAATATATATGCGTGACTGGCCCAACTCTAGGGATCACACCACACTTTTCTATCTTATTTTGTCTCTCCCTCTCTCTCTTTGTCCTACATCTTCCACAGTTTTCTATCTTATTTTGTCTCTCTGTCCTGCATCTTCTTCCGCTCTCTTCACTTCTCTTCTTTCTCCTCTCTTATATACTGGTCTAACACTTACAGATTAACCTAGATCTAAGTGGTACTTTCAAACAGATCCTCATTGTCAAAAATCAAAATAAAACAATAAGAAAATAAAAAAATCTTCAACTTGTTTGAGTCATTGCAATGGTTATTGCATTCCAGAGTCCAAATCACTCAGTAAGTCATTTTTCGCTTAGACAATGGAATAATTACATCCACCCCAATCCCAGAGCATTCAACTTCTATAAATTTCTTTGCAAGCCATATGTGTAGCTGGTGTAGCAGTGCAGCTCCTCGGGGAGTCTCATCATTCCAACTTTGTGACCAGGATTGTGTACTTCTGTTTCATCCAAACTTCCAATGTTTTGAGGATTTCCTAATGGAAGTGCCGATTGGAAGAACGCAAAAGCTGGAAAGATCTTCAAATATACCATTGGGAAGCATTTAAAGCGCTTCTATAACTCAAGATCCTCAAAATATTCGACCTTGCACCTCTGGCACAGGAAACCTGGGCATTTCTGTTTGAATAGACCTCATATTTTATCTTCTGTTGGGTTACTTGGTTCAGTTCTTCTACATTCGAATTTCTTGTAAAAACAGAAATGAAATATCGTTTATGAGACTGTTACATGGTTATACATCCAATGTCATGTTGAAAAAATGTATTTCACTATGTTCTGACTCCTTGGCCCTGTGTTCAAAGGTGGAAACCATATATCATGTCTCCTTTTCTGATAATGTCCTCAACTAGACATGGACACATTCCTGAAAAATAAATTCAAATAGTATGCAATGCTTACACCAAATTCAGAGAAACTCAAAAATCAGATCTCATTCTGGCAAGAATGTGAAAATAAATAGATATAAAACTATTTAATAATAATGAATCTGGCATGATGCATCGACATAGTGCCTCATATGCTCCAAAAAAATGGGATTGTTGACCAAATAACTAGGCAAGACATACAAGCTAGAGGAGCTCTTCTTATTCAGTTGTATGATTTTTATCCTTCCTACCATTGACCTTTATAGAAGCCCCAGGTCTACTCTAATTTTCTCTAATGTAGTTACTTAACATAGACTTTCTGTATGCCGCCATTTGAATTTGTGAAGAAGAAATATAAATGGCATTAGTCAAATCAGTGAAGAAGAAATTGATATGTGCCACCCACCATCTCCAGCCGTGTAGAACCCCCAGCAGGAAATGGAGAACTTTGTTGATCCACACTAGCAAATGACCTGTGGACCATTTAAATCTTCCCACAGATCACATAAAGTACCATCTTATGAACTCACATTTATCAAAAAATTTCTTAAAAACATCAAGCTTTTCTCTCTGAAATTCGAGGGCATAAATAACCATAGACACTCAAGGTAGAAATGAAGAATCCCGAGTGGGTAAAAGCCACCCACCCCAATTCCCAAACCTAATTGTCATCAGCTAAATCATTCTTTACCAAACCCTAAATACCTAATTTTAGGGATCCATCCCTGTGGTCCTCCATCACATTTAATAACACTAATAAAGAATTGACTCCCACAGGTTCTAACTGTATTACTAAGATCTGAGAATTTCGCGGATGAATCAAGGAATTCGAAAAGATCTCAATAAATGATTATATGAGAGATCAACAGCTGCTCCAAGAAATAATCCCAGGAATTTAAAAGTTTTTGACATCATTGTGACTAGAACTTGGAGGTCTGACCAGCCAGAGTGATTACATCAGTGACAATGCATTAAACAAGTAAAATCCCTGAATCTCCCATTCAAACATTCTAACTCACAAGTCGGTACATAAACACATCCAATGGAAAACACTACATACTTGACATTTTACCGATTTAAGCTACTAAAGCATGAACCAAAGGTAGTATACAAAGCAATTACACAGAAATCAAAGTAACAACCTGTTTTTCTATTTGGTAATTGATAACAAGTCAAAGTATCAACTACACACTGGTGATACAGAATCCTTATGAAAGTGATAAGTACGTATATATCGAAACATAAAATGGATATAATTTAGTGAGAACTGAAAATAAACAAGACCATGTCAACTTCATACCTTTAAAACATGAGCAACAATACCAGGCGGCTTTGAAGGATCGGGAACTTGGAAAACTGCAAGATGCCTATTGGGATCAAATGCCTCATTTAGAGCTTCAAACTTCTGCACTCCAAATTGCTTCAACACCTGGGAAGCATAGGAGAGCAACAACCACTATTAAGCTACGTAATCCACTTTCTAACAGAATCCATAAGTTCACATTCATAAGACCCATGCTATCAACACAACATGCTTCCAAACTCACATGAAAATGAAAAGAGCATAAGAAATAAAGCCATAAATTTGGCAAACGAAACAAACAGATGACCTTCAAAGTGAATAACAAAGAACATATGTCTATAATGCAGAAAATATCGAATACAGTTGATAAACTAACCCTCTTCATACTCCCTCTTTCTTATAATTTAAATAAAGTGTTATCATTTTCAAAAGGAAAACAACCTAGGCAGATTTCAAGTTAGATCTTCAAATAGTTATATAGGTCTCTAATGAACTGCCACTACAAAATATGGCACAGGGACATCAAGCAAGTCAAGGAGCTGTACATAGTGACCTTATCACCTAGTATGGCATCACAGTATTATATACAAACTTAGACAGCAGTTGCGAATTTTCAACAAGCATCATGACCAGTAGTGGAACCTCACAAAGCCAGACAACACATATTTGCAGTCTCTCCTGCAAGCACTAGGTATTTTGCCGCATGCCCTCCTTGCAGTAGGTCTGAAAGAACCACTTGAAGGGGAAAAAAAATAAAACCACTTGATCGAGAAGGCTCAAATCCTCATATTTATTGAAACATCTAAAGTAGGAGGGTAGGATGGCTTGTGACAAACTTTCTATTCCTAAGAATTTTTCTATGTAAAAAAGCTTCATAGACCAATAAAAACCTCCAGCAAACTATTTATTTACAGAGATTTTGAATAGAAAAAGGAAAAGCTATCAAACAATAAAAAAAAAAAAAAAATTAAATGTGTTTCTTAGAGTAAAAGAAAATCCCTTTGAAAAGTGAAGAAGGTATAGAAGCCAGAAAAATCTTGTTAATTACATAAAAGAAGGTCAGTGAAATTGATATTGGAAAAAAGGATTTGATGCGTTTAGGGTATGGGTACAAGGGATGCCTTAAATTTGGGCAAAACAAGAAGAATATGTGTCACCAAAGGAATTCTCATGCACTTTCATCAAAGGTTGATGTTTCTTCAAGCAAGTAATCTCAACTACCTCCTTAAAAATATTTGGTGCATTAGGATCAAGTGGTCTCTAAGGTGACCAGGATGCTAGCTACTTGGAAAGGCTAATTATTTTTATTAATCTGGAGGATTGCATCATCTTTAAATCTAAATTGGCCAGAATCCCTATTTGTTTCATGTCCCTCCATAGGATTCCAAAAGCTACCAATGGATTAAATAGGCGTAATCTAATCTGGTTTTTACATATATATCATTTGGGGTACCATATTCATTTCTTTGTATGGGTTTCTAATGAATGAAGAAAAAGGTTGTACATTTTTACAAGGCATCCTCCAGATAATTGAAATTCAACTAATTTGATGTTGGATTAGGCCTATATGTTATCAAACTGAGAAGCTATCTTTGGACTAATGAAAATCTAACTATAGACTCCACCATCGCCAGCAACCACTGTTCCCAAAAACGCCGAGCCGCTGAGGCAGCCGGGGCGGGGGGGGTGTTCCAAGTTGCTCAACGCCTAGGCGGGCGCCTAGAACCTGGGCGGCCTAGTAGAATAAAAAGACGTTTTAACGTCATTTTGTAGACAAAATTAAATAATTCATATTGATACATCTTTTAGTCCATAATTCCATGCATTTCAAATTCAAAAAGCAAACTTTTAAGTTTAAACTTCAAACCATTAGGCATTAGAGCATTAGACCATATCCATAGTCCATACTCCATACCATAATCCAAACTCCCTGCACCCCAAAGTCCATACACAAAAAACCCTCTAACAGACTTATAAAATCGCCAAAACTAAATCTAATCTCAATGGGTGATGTTTACATTGATTTCTCCTAACTTTGAGAAACCCTTCAATCCTATAGGAATCACAAAAAACTAGTTTTTTAATGTTTCTATCTCTTTAAAATGGGCTTTACTGGCTGGGGTTTAGGTTTGAAATGAACCTTCGCACTTTTTACAATATTATTTATATCAAACAACCCAAAATTGCCCCTCAACGAGGGGTATTTTAGCCGTTGGGCGGGGCACATGGCCTGGACAGCCGCCCAGGGCTGGGTGCTGGGCACCCTCCTAGGCAGGTGCCCAGATGCCTAGCAGCCCCAATTTTTACTGCCTAGGCACTCGGTGATCTGCCCATTGGAACAAAGCCAGTAACATGCGGCTCGTAAGCCTAAGGACCAAGCGAGTTGAAGTATTCAAGTCATCGAATCGTCAAATTTATAAATGCAAGTCCAAATGAATAGTGAATTAGGAAAATAATGCCAAATTTCAAAAGCAGACCACCCAGCACCTGGCAGATGCGCCAAGGCCTAAGCACCAAAAATAGGCGAAAAACCCTGGGCACCCGCCTAGACGCCCAGGAACCTACCTAGGTGACCGCCCAGCTTTCAGACCTGGGTGGCTGCCCAGGGACTGTGCCCTGCCCAAAGGCGGAAAATAGTTTCGATAGGGGCATTTTTTATCCTTTTTTTTATACTAAAGGGGCAAATTTCTTGTTTTTAGGTTTATTTGTAACCTAAAACATATTAGAGACCAATGTAGAGAGAAAAAATCCAAAAAACCAATTTTTGGTGATATCTTTAGAATTGAAAGGTTTCTCAAAGTTATGAAAAATTGATCAAAACATCATCCATTGATATTAGATTTAATTTTTTATGTTTTATAAATCCATTGGAGGGTTTTTTAGAAGATTTTGAGTATTTAGAAGCATCTTTGAGGTAGAAGTTTGGAGATTGAGCAATCAAAGTAAAAGATTTTTTTTATTGCTTGTATAAGTTGTATTATTTTGAGATGTCTTCTTTAGGATCTAATAAGAGTGGTGATCCTGGTTGGAAATATGGCTACAACCCAGATCCTAATGATAAAAATTGCATAAAAAGCAAGTTTTGTGAGAATAATACAAAAGGGGGCATAAACTAGTTCAATAAACATCGTGCCGGTATCAGGGGAGATGTTGCCCCACGTAAAAAGACTCCTGATGCTGTTAAAGAGGATATAACCAATTTTTTGAGTATGGTAAAAATAAAAAAAGATGAGAAATTTGCCTCCATAGCAGAGATTAGGTTTGGGGTTCGGGTCAATTTTCGTGATTTCTTTAGGATTGAAGGGTTTCTCAAAGTTATGAGAAATTGATCAAAACATCATCCATTGACATTAGATTTAATTTGTGATGTTTTATAAATCCATTGGAGGGTTTTTTAGAAGATTTTGAATCTTTTTAGAAGCATCTTTGAGGTGGAAGTTTGGAGATTGAGCAATCAAAGTAAGTTTTTTTTTTTTTCTTTGCTTCGCGGATCTGCTAGCGAAGGAGGGTTCTAGAAGGCAGAGTGAGGCAGTTCAAACTGGGTCCACCTTCTGTTTTGCTTTGGACCAGTGAACCCCCATTAATTTTTTTGGCCTTTTTATTTCTCCTTATCATTGTACATCTATAGGTGGGGGGGACTATTTTATAAGCCCTATCCTAGTCTCTTTTTGTAAATCGTACTTAGGGGGGAAAGCCTATTACTGTATAGGGGGTTTTCGATCTTCTTTTTACCGGGAGTCCTGTCTAGAGGGCTCTTCCGGAGAGACAATATATTGTAATTCCCTTTCTCAGAAGTACAAATGTTAACATTTTCAAAAAATACGTGATTTTTTTTATTGCTTGTATAAGTTGTATTATTTTGAGATGTCTTCTTCGGGATCTAATAAGAGTGGTGATCCCAGTTGAAAATATAGCTACAACCCAAATCCCAATGATAAAAATTGCATAAAAAGCATGTTTTGTGAGAATGATACAAAAGGAGGCATAAACTAGTTCAAGAAACATCGTGCCGGTATCAGGGGGGATGTTGCCCCATGTAAAAAGACTCCTGATGTTGTTAAAGAGGAAATAACCAATATTTTGAGTGTGGTAAAAATGAAAAAAGATGACAAATTTGCCTCCATAACAGAGATTAGGTCTGAGGATCGGGTCAAATATGATGATGATGATAGTGATGAGGATGGAGAGGGATGTCAAGAGGTAGAACAATCCATTATTAGGGGAAATGGAAAGGGAGTTGTAATTGCTTCTGATTCTGGGAGTAAGAAGCCTTAGGTTAGAGACCCTATGGATAGTTTTTTGCCCGGCCTGACCCTGAGGTTGTATGAGAGGAAACAAAGAAGCAAACAACCATTGAAAATAGAATGAAGAAGGAAGAGAACGATAAAGCTACTTTTTATATTGCTACATGGTTTTATGATGCGAGCATTCCTTTCAATACCGCTCGCCTAAGCAGATTATATGCCTTGGTAGAGGCAATTAGCCAATTTGGGCCTGGGATGAAACCCCCAACCCCATATGAGCTTTCAGAGCCTCTTTTGAAAAAGCGGTGAGTGTCACGACGGATGCTGTAGAAGTTAAGGATGCATGGGCTCAGTATGGAGTTTCTATTATGATTGATGCTTGGAGTGATAGGAAGAGAAGAAGTCAAATGAATTTGCTTGTGAATTGTCCTTTAGGGATTGTTTTTTTGAGGTCTATTGCAGTGTTTTAAAATACAGCCGCATCACCGCATATACGGCCGCATCATGCGATATGCGGTGGGCACTGCATCTGCACAGACAGCATATACGGTTTTGAGTTACGTGGACGCATATGCGGTTTTGCGTGATGCAGCCACATATGCGTCGCATCAGACTGCATCAGAGCCACATCGCTTTCTGCAAAAGAAATTTGATTGTGCCCCTTGGGAAGGGGCAAAATCGTCTTTTTGACCATCAAAAATTGGGGGAAACAATTTAAGAAGGTATTAAACCCCCTAAACGATCATTTATAGCCACTTTCGTGGCTTTTTTGGGATCAAATCGAGCAAAAAAAAAAATCTAGGCGGAAATTTTTTTTCATTTAGTTCTTGGATTTGGGAATTGTTTGATACTTGGATATTGATTAGAACCTTTTGATTATTGATTTAGGAAAGTTCAGGTGAATTTGAGACAATAAATTGGAGGTTTCAGAGGCCGTGAAAAAATTGGGCACTAAAATTGGGGATAATGGATACAAAATCTTTGACAGCAAATAAGTTTGGAGTTAATCATTAAACTAAAATTCCTACTATCACATATATCACCTCCATTTTTTTTTTCTCTATGCATTAACCTATTTTTTTAGACTTTTTAGAATTTTTTTACATTTATTGACCGAATCGTCGTGATGCACCCGCATCGAGCCGCATCACCGCATTGGCCCCCCCACCGCTTTTGGTCGCATCCTGCATTTTGAAACACTGGGCTATTGATGCATTTGATTATACCCATGATACCCATTACATATTCCAAGATATAGATAAAGGAATCAAGGACGTTGGGGAGCATCTTGTTGTACAGGTTGTCACAGACAATGTTGCTCCTAATGTTCCGCTGCTAATTTGTTGCGCTTAGCTTATACTAGAATCTTTTGGACACCATATGCAGCACATTGTATAGACCTCATGCGTGAGGCGCTTGGCACTTTAACTGAGATATCAGGTGCAGTGAAGAAGGCAAAGTCAATTACAATTTTCATTTATAGCCACCAACTAACCCTCAACATGATGTGTAGATTTACAAAGAAGAAAGAGATTGTGAGGCCTGGGGTCACAAGATTTGCGACCAAGTACTTATGCCTAGATAGCATACATTCAAGGAGAGTCCAGTTGAGGCAGATGTTTTCCTCGGATGACCGGAGAGCATGCAAGTGGTTCAAGGATCAGGTTGGGAAGAAGGTGACAGATATTATCCTTTCTAAGGCTTTTTGGCGAGGGGAGAAGGGCGCACTCCAGACATTTTTTCCTCTTGTCAAAGCCCTTCGCATGGTTGATAGTGACAGGGCTTCTATGGGCTACATATATGAGGCTATGGAAAAATGCAAAGAGAGATAGTCCAAAATTTTGATGATGAAGAGAACCGCTACAAGCCTGTTTGGGAGATTATTGATGAGAAGTGGGATAGGCAGCTACATCGGCCATTGCATACAGCTGGTTATTATTTGAACCCAGCTTTTTTTTATGTTGACAAGGATATACACACAAATGACACAATTATGACTGGATTTAATAAGTGTGTAGATGTGCTAGTCCCTGATCCTAATATCCAGGACATTATATGCGCTGATGAGCTAATAAATTACAAGTGCTCATTAAAGTCTTTTGGGAGTCCGATGACGATAAGGCAAAGGACCAAAATTGATCCAAGTAGTAATAATATTGTTAAGTTCATCAAGTGCAACTGTTCAAGTAATCAAGTTTCATTTTTATAATTCTATTATTTATTTATGATTTTATTTTATATCTTTGCCGCCAATTGGTGGAGCCAACATGGGTGTAGTTCTCCAAATTTAGAAAAGTTGGCCATTCAGATCTTGCACCTAACCACTTCCTCATCCGGTTGTGAGCGCAATTGGAGTACTTTTGAAGGGGAAAGGCCGTAAGGTTAATTTGTACAATTGTATTAATAATACATAAACCATATATTTTAATTAGTTTCATTTGATTTTGTTAGATTCATATAAAGAAAAGAAACAGGCTTGAATTAAAGAGGCTCAATGACCTAGTCTATGTCAAGTATTATCGATTCTTGCAGGACAAGTTTGCTAAGAGAGATGAGAGAGACTCCATCAAATCAAAAATATGGACAATGCTATGGAGTGGTTAGTTGATGATGATGAGGTCGAGGGGCATGAAGGATTGACATGGGGCATGATCATGGATGCTTCAAGGACATCAGCCGCCCCTCCTAGGGCCACTAAATCTTCTGCACATAAAAAAAAGGTGGAGGAAGAGGCGGAAGAAGAGGCAAATTTAGAAGAGACAAAGGAGGATGACCAAAATGTCGAGGAGGGTGACAACTCCGATGAATATGATGCAAATGCAGCTGACCCTACTTTTTCTGACGATGAATGATGAATAATGATTAAACTTTGAACATTGATTGAAGATTCTTTTGAGACTTCAAGTATTACTTTCATTTTTGTTTTCTTCCTCTTGGTTGTGTATAGTGGATAGTGGATTTGTAGTTCCACTGGTTTGGTATTTAATAACTTTGGTTTGGTAATTTGGCTGGTAATTTGGCTAGTAAATTTCAAGTTTTAATTGGATATGGACCGACTTATGGTTATGCTTATAGAGCGTGTGTTAATGTGTAGTATACTTTGAATTTTGATGTGCCCTAAATACCTACTTTTTATATTTTATATCATATATATATTGTTAGAGACTGTAGAATCCTTTTTGACTGGGCCACCGAGGTTTTGGGCGCTCGCCTAGGTGCTTAGGCGGCCTAAACCCCCCAGGTCACCTAAGATCCGCCTAGCGCTTTTGAAACATTGGATAAATACAAAGTTCTGTGTGGAAAGAGATCATTTACTATGCTTGAGGTCTAAAAGGCCATTAGAATCACAATCTTTTTTGTTAAGGGGCATCTAAAGGAGGATGTGCATATACGACATCACTTTAGATTGATGAATGATGCAGAGAGTCTAAATCCAAAACTTAAAAATTGAGGCCCTATCTCAGAATCCAAAATATTCGGTAGCGGATTGTTTCGATGCCAATTTCCATAGGATAACTTGGATATTGGACCTTAGAAAAAAGCTTTGGAATAAAAAGTTTGCAACATGCAAATCTAACTAAGCTTTAGCACAAAATGCACATGTGCATATGGTTTCTAGAGGTGGATTAAATATCCCAATATATGGCAGCATTTATGGTTTTCACAATGATACAAAATCATATGTGCCCATAAACTCAAAAGGGAGAAATAAGCACACTGCCCTATTGGTTAGATGTGACGCAAAGAGGATCACCTTCATTTTCTTACATTTCTTCAGCTTGCAATTAAGTATAAAATCCATACAGACGATCATCTCACGCACTGAGATATGACTCTACCCAATATGTGCATTACAAAGAGAAGCAGAGGGATAGACCACATGATCATCAGAGGCAACTTTGCCCAAAGTTGTTAGTCCCAACCTAGGTGGCAATCCCGCTCCAGAAGGCACTACAGGAAAGGGATGTTCAAGGGATCTTGATTTTTAAATTTTGAGATCTCAATTCCCACCTTAAAGACCAAGATAATGACTAAATTGATCATTTTCTTTATTTAAAGCTAGCTTTTAATATAGTTGCACTACTTGCTAGCTTTAAATAAAGAGGTCCCTACTTTAAAGAACATATATAATTCTAAACTATAGATATTCAAGGTTGGGAGCAAGATCCTCCTATTTTTAGGATCGAGATCCCAAAAGGTCAGGATCTAGATCCCCAAAAGGTTAGGATCTAAATCCCTCACGTATGCGGTTTATGGATAACGCTCCCAACCATAGGGTTCTATCCTTCCACCATTCCGTGCTTCCAATCTAGTTCCCGCTTCCAATCCCATCAATTATGATTATGCCAAATTCATTCCTTCGTTTATTGCAAGTTTCGTCTGGCATGAGTTAGAAAGCAAACTTTTCAATCTTATTATTCCCTTTCTAGCTATTACATGGACTTGGAAGGAGTGGACCCACAATAAATTTGGATAGAAGATAGTTGGGATCATCAAGCCCCAACCACGATCATTTTTCTTGGGAGGTAACCAATGTAGTAGTTATGGCTAACAATGGACTGGGAAGCACGATCTAGGCTTGAAAAACTAGGGCCTGGACCACAAAATGTGGCTTGAGCACCAGCCTGGGCTTGCGCCACGACAGGGCTGGCTTGACCCCTCCCAACCCTTTTACCTTTTGTTTCTTTCAGTTTATTAGGTCTGGCCAGTCCCACCCGACTTAAACGGGGCCAGGTCCATGCCTGGTCGAGGGCCTCTTCAGCCAGTCAAGGCTGGATTAGGGCTAGAGCTGACACGGTCTATTACCAACTCTAAGTAGGCTAAAGGAGTCAGTATTCCAGATTTAATGAATCACATATTATGTCATAAGCACTAAAAGTCATGAGTTTCAGGTAACAAATTTCAGGTAAAAAAAATTGAGAATAAGTCCAAATTTCAAGTTGATTCCCCCCTCCCCAAAAAAAA